GGTTCGTCATGAAGTTCAGAGAAGTAATCCCAGTACCCAGATTCCAAGAGTTGAAGTGTTTTGGAATGAAGAACCTCGATGGACCGTTATGCCTATGACGGTGCGTCATACTTGCCGTCGAGGGTAATGAAGAGAGCAGTAGAAGAAATTGCACAAGTATGGGACGACGGTGTCCATGCCGGACCAAGGATTTAGAAATACATAACTTATCACTTTGCATGCAATATACTAGGAAAGAATTGTTATAGTTAGAATTATTAAGTTATGAACCTATGGGGAACAGTAAACCCTAGTTACTTTGATTAATTGATTAACATCAAACATTCAAAGCTGTTAAGTGTCTCTTTCAAGTTCGTTAGTTATTTTCACTCATTTAGAAATAGAAACCCCCCTCACTAGTTGGGTTATTTACTCGACACGACCGCTTTACTTCTTATTTGAGAAGTAAGTTTGAGTGTATCAAATTTTGGCACCGCTGCCGGGGAATATAGCTTTTAGATTAACTTGAACTTATTACTATAGTTTAGTTGATATTTTCTTGATTTTACTTTGTTTTATTGTTTTTGATTTTTTTCCAGAACTATCCTCCTTGTATGTCAAATACACGGAGAGGAAGAGAACCCTTGTTTACCTATGATCACGAGTTAGAGCGTACACTGCGCAATATGAATCGAAACTTGGGAATAAATGATGATGATCCGAACCAGAACATCCCAGCACCGGTTGATGTTCATTGTCAGATGTTACCTGCTGCTCCGGGTGAACACCAACAGAGGGGACAAAATCCCGTTCCACGGCCCCAAGCATACTACAGAGGTTATGATTACATAGCAGACTCGGATGGGCCACTTGTCTTGCCTCCTGTACCCACAGGCCACACCTTTGTGGTAACTAGTAGCATGATGCAAATGCTCATTGCCAAAGGTTTGTTTTCAGGTCTACCTTCTGAGGATCCACATGCCCATATAGCTTAGGTAAGGGTAGTGTGTAAAAGCTGTGTACGGAGGCCTGATTTGGATCTAGATGTAATAGGGCTCAGAGTGTTTCCTCTCTCACTGACGGGAGAGGCTGCTATATGGTTCACTGAGCTCCCATACAACTCAATATTCACTTGGAACCAACTAAGGGATGTTTTCGTAGCATGCTACTATCCGGTATCCAAGAAACTAAACCACAAAGATAGAGTGAACAACTTTGTGGCACTACCAGGAGAGTCAGTTAGTAGTTCTTGGGATAGATTCACCTCATTCTTGAGAAATGTTCCAAATCACGTATAGATGATGAGTCACTGAAGGAATACTTCTATCGGGGACAGGATGACAACAATAAAGCGGTGTTGGACACTATAGCAGGTGGATCTTATGGGGAGTGTCCTTATGCTGAGATTGCTGAAAAATTAGAGAAAATCTCCTGGAATAACAAAGCTTGGAGTACTAGGAAGTCTGATACAGGGAGAAACACCTTCGCAGTGCAGTCCACTCACAACCCAGCCACAGAGGAGATTCGCGAAGATATGGCTCAGATGAGAACCGAGCTTGGGTTTGTACTAAAACATGTCACTAGGGGTGTAGAAAAGATAAATGCAGTCAACTACTTGTCGAAACCACCGCCACAAAACGATGAGTGTTATTATGAGGAGGATTCCTATGCAGTAAATGAACAGATGGGGGATTTCCGACCAAGTGCCCAAGGCTCTAATCCGGAAAATTGGCGCCAAGGTCAAGGGAACCAAGGTCGGAACTATGGTAACTACAATCGTGAGGGTCATTATGTCCGAGATGGAAACTACAATCGCGACAACAACTTCAAAAGGGGTAACTATGGGAATAGAAATGACAGGAATGGACCCTATATTCCTCCTCAAAATCGTGAATTTACTGCTAGGGATGGTGAAGTTAGTATGTCGCGAGTTGAGGATATGTTGCATAAAATGATGACGAGGTTCGATGCTAGTGATGAGCACAACAAAGAGTTGAGGAATGATTTAGCGGGTATTGGGCAAAAAGTCGATACACATGCAATATCGATTAAGCAACTTGATTTACAATTGACCCAATTATCTGCAACTGTGAACACACGGCAACCGAACACTCTTCCTAGCAACACTATCCAAAATCTAAAAAATGATGGACATTGTATGACAATTACTACTTGCGGTGGCAAGCAAACCATTAACCCACCTATGCCGTTCAATGAGAAAAAGGTGACAAAAGATACTGATAAAGTGGTAGATGTTGATGGTGAATTAGAGGATAACACCGCAAAAGATGCTGAAGTGCCGAAAAAGGTAACTCCCACGCCTAGGCCATCACCCCCATTTCCTCAAAGATTATTGAAAAAGACCGAGGATGGTAAATATCGGCATTTTATAACAATGTTGAAGCAAATTTCTATCAATATCCCTTTGGTAGAAGCTTTAGAACAAATGTCCGGTTACGCCAAGTTTATGAAAGACTTGGTCACAAAGAAAAGATCGGTCACTTTTGAGGATGATGATAGAATGCATCATTGTAGTGCTATTTTTACAAGATCTCTGGTTCAAAAGAAAGAAGATCTGGATGCGTTTACTATTCCTTGTACAATCGGGCTATTACATTTTGCAAAAGCATTATGTGATCTGGGGGCAAGCATAAATCTCATGCCCCTCTCGATTTACAAGAAGTTGGGTTCGGGTAATCAAAAGCCTACTGCGATGCGGCTACAAGTAGTTGGGTTTGGGTGATCCTATTACATATTTCTGGCAGATTTTGTTATTCTTGATTGTGAAGTCGATTTTGAAGTGCCCATTATTCTTGGGAGGCCATTCCTTGCTACGGGAAGAGCCTTAGTAGACATGGAAAAGAGGCAGATGAAATTTTGGTTGAACAATGAGGAAGTGACCTTTAACATTTGTAGGTACATGAGGTAGGGTGGTGAGCTCCAATCAGTATCTGCTATATCCTACAACATGGGTTAGACATCTGAGACACAAATAGAAGAACGTCTAGGAGTAGAAGCATTAGCGGCAGTGATAATGAACTTTGATAGCGATTGCATTGAAGAGTATGAGTCATTAGTCGCGGCTTTTGACCGAGGTGATGTTCGGTTTAAACCGAAGAAATTTGAGCTAGATATGAAGAATTGCGAGTCCCCACCCGCGAAACCATCTATAGAGGAGGCTCCAAAATTAGAACTAAAAGCTCTCCCACCTCATCTCAGGTATAATTTCTTAGGAAATGGTGACACTTTGCCGGTAATCATTGCATCAGACCTGGATGAACAACAAGTTCAGAGTTTGGTGAAGGTATTAAAAAGTTTCAAAAGAGCTATTGGGTGGACTATTGCGGACATTATTGGGATCCCTCCTGGTATTTGCTCTCATAAAATCCAACTCATGCCTGATCATAAGCCAAGTATTGAGCACCAGAGACGCTTAAATCCTCCTATGCAAGAGGTCGTGAAAAAGGAAATCATTAAGTGGTTGGATGCCGGAGTAATCTATCCAATCGCCGATAGTAGTTGGGTATGCCCGGTTCAGTGTGTACCTAAGAAAGGGGGAATGACTGTGGTCCCCAACAAAAAAATGAACTTGTTCCAATGAGACCGGTTACTGGATGGAGGGTGTGTATGGATTACCGCAAACTAAATTCATGGACTGAAAAAGACCACTTTCCTATGCCCTTCATGGATCAAATGTTGGATAGACTTGCCGGAAAAAGGGTGGTACTGTTTTCTTGATGGATATTCGGGGTATAATCAGATTTCTATTGCACCAAAAGATCAAGAGAAAACCACTCTTACTTGTCCATATGGGACCTTTGCGTTCAGAAAAATGCCGTTTGGGCTGTGCAATGCACCCGCCACCTTTAAGAGATGTATGATGTCGATATTTTCTGACATGGTGGAGGATACTATCGATGTTTTTATGGATGATTTTTCTGTGGTTGGTGATTCATTCGAGCAGTGTTTGACCAATTTATCTGAGGTCCTTAAGAGATGTGAAGACTGCAATTTAGTACTAAACTGGGAAAAGTGTCATTTCATGGTGAAAGAGGGTATTGTGTTGGATCATCACAATTCTGAAAAGGGCATAGAGGTTGATCGAGCTAAAGTCGATGTAATAGAGAGACTTCCCCCACCGATCTCTGTGAAAGGTGTGAGAAGCTTTCTTGGGCATGCAGGTTTTTACCGAAGATTCATCAAAGACTTTTCAAAGATTGCACATCCATTGTGCAAACTGCTGGAGAAAGATTGTAAATTTTGTTTTGATGAATCCTGTCTTAAAGCATTCGGTGAGCTAAAAGAGAAATTGGTGTCTGCACCTATCATTATTTATCCGGATTGGAACAGTCCATTTGACGTGATGTGCGATGCTAGTGGGGTGGCTCTTGGTGTAGTATTGGGACAGAGAAAAAACAAAATCCTTCACCCCATTTACTATGCTAGTAAAACCCTAAATGAAGCTCAGAAGAACTACACAGTAACCGAGCAAGAACTTCTTGCAGTAGTCTTTGATTTTGAGAAATTTTGCTCCTATCTGCTAGGTACTAGAGTTATAGTGCATACTGACCACTCAGCATTGAGATATTCGATGGCGAAGAAGGATGCGAAACCTAGGCTGATTCGTTGGATATTACTGCTACAAGAATTTGACTTTGAAGTGATGGATAGAAAAGGAACTGAAAATCAAGTTGTCGATCACTTGTCTCGTCTAGCGGATGAAGCTATGAGAGAGTTAGGGGATAAGACTGACATTGATGATACTTTCCCCGATGAGCATGTATTGGCTGCTTCACAAGACTTGATCCTATGGTTCGCAGATTTTGCGAACTATCTGGCTAGTGAAGTCTGAATCAGGTTCAATTTCACCTAAGAAAATGTAATCAAATTAACTTTCTCAAAATTGAAAGAAATAATTTTTTAATAGTAAAGTATATTTTTCACTAGAATCTATAATTACTACTATAAAATTATCTAGGTAGTCATTTGATATAAGTATTCTTGAGAATAAACATATATACCTAACAAATACTGTCGTACACCTTGTTTCTGAGTGTGTGTGATCTTGTTTGTAACAATTTCAAGTCGCTTGTAAACTTGCATTTTATCTGAGTTGATTATTTCTCCTCGAAAATGGGTGGCAACGTCAACAGAGAGACGGGATTTTCCCGTTCCTGTGGCCCCCATTATGAAGATCACTTTTTTCTTGTTGAACTCTTCATTGTTGATGAAAGTATTCATTTTTTCTAACAAAAAAAAATATTAATTAGTTTAGAATAGTGAATTCATAAAGTCAGACATTAAAATCTTGTAAATATAAAACTAGTAAGTAAAAACCTTGCTTGACTTGGAATATACTCTCTAAAAATATAAAATTTTCTTGATGGTGGATGTGAAAAAAAATTACATTCAGCTTTTATAGTAAAATAATTTTGTGGACTTATTAGTTGACATACCACTTTCATAATTACGGATATATTTTAGGATAAGAATGACTTTTAAAAGTTTATAGATATGTCAACTTGAATTTTGGTAATTATTATTAAATATATTTTAGGATAAAGTTATTAGTGTACGTTGTTAGGAGATCACATAGAGCTGGACTTTTATAGTAAAAATGTTATTTTTTATAGACTTCTTAATTAGTAAACCAAATTAAATATATATATAAATTCATATCTTTAAGAATAAGAATAGTTCATTAAAAAAGTTAGAGTATTTCCTTTTAAATTTTGGCGATTAAGATTAAATTATTTTAGGATGACGTTTCTAGATGTATATTGTTATGAGATCACAAGTAGTTACAAAAGGATTGTACAAAGAACTCAATAAAATTTCTGACGGAATATATTTAAGTGATAATTCATCAAATCTTACACTATTCAACAACACATCATAAGTGTTAAGTCTAATTCCATAAGAGGGAAGTGAACAATTATCGATAACTATTTCAATTACGAGTATTCATCTTAACATGTGCACCATACAATAATAGATAAGGACTTTATTGAATCAAGCTTCAATCACCGTGATAAAATTAGGTAGAATATATTCATTACCGATACATTACAAATTTACTATTTTATCTTCTTTGTCTATGTAACATTTTTAAGTATTGAGTAAAGAATTCAATTCTTCAAAATCCTTTTAGGATGGAATCTTCCCGAACATGTATGGTGATTTATTATTTTATCACTCTATTAGCTTGACATTATGAGTGATCTCATATAATTATGTACGTACGTATTTGTATTAATATATATTAAATATAGAAGACTTGGACTTGGACCTTGGGCTTGGGCTTGGATCGAAACTTAAAATAAATATTTCATCTATACATAAGAATTTTATTAAAAAAAAGAGTAACATATATAGAAATAATGGTCATATCAAACATATATATTTGTAATGCGATACAAACTGTAAAAAATAGGTCCAAAATAAAAGAGACCAAAACAGAAGATGGCGATAATGAAAGTTTATGTACACTCAATAATAATATTGTGATGATTGCTTTTGAGAAATCTCTGCACAATATCAAGGCATGGTTGCAAAACAGTATTCGTCCATGCTTCGTCTGTATCTTCTTCTTTATCTTCTTTGAAAACGTCCGTAACAATTATATGATGCATTGACCACATTTTCTCGCGTATTAATCGTTGAATCTTGTCAAGTTGGTTACAAATTAACATACGAGTATTACGATTGATACTTGAAATTGAAGCTTGAAGAATCATCTTCTTTGATTCATCATCTCTGTCTATATTTGTTTCTTCCCTTAAATATCTTTCCATTTCAGGGACACCGATGGACCGTCGGATTCCTTTGGTGTAATCTGCATCTGGAATGAAAATCTGTCTCACCTCATCCACTAGCCCTGCATGCGACACAAATTTAAAGAAAAGTTTTATTTAGTAGAACATATATTTGATAACCAAAAGTAAAAAATTATATAAGAAAAGTTTTTAGCTAGCTGCATGATAGTATATCTTTATTGATACATAAAATAATTACAAAAATTACTTGCTTTGACCATTTGATCAACCCTCATGTTAACTCTACGGTTCAAGACTGATTGCTCAACATCAATCCAAATAAAGCAACTATCATACTTATATTTGGACATGAACACAGGATCTTCCACAAGTTTTTCAATATACGAATTTGACCCTCCAACAATAATTGGAACACGTTGAGTCTTCTGTATTTTTTCTATATAGACGACAGATTGCAAACAAAAATCTTCAGCTGTGATGTCTGAATCTGGTTCAATTTCACCTAAGAAAATGTAATCAAATTAACTTTCTCAAAATTGAAAGAAATATTTTTTTAATAGTAAAGTATATTTTTCACTAGAATCTATAATTACTACTATAAAATTATCTAGGTAGTCATTTGATATAAGTATTATTGAGAATAAACATATATACCTAACAAATAGTGTCGTACACCTTGTTTCTCAGCGTGTGTGATCTTGTTTGTAACAATTTCAAGTCCCTTGTAAACTTGCATTTTATCCGAGTTGATTATTTCTCCTCGAAAATGGGTGGCAACGTCAATGGAGAGACGGAATTTTCCCATTCCTGTGGCCCCCATTATGAAGATCACTTTTTTCTTGTTGAACTCATCATTGTTGATGAAAGTATTCATTTTTCTGACAAAAAAAAATATTAATTAGTTTAGAATAGTGAATTCATAAAGTCAGACATTAAAATCTTGTAAATATAAAACTAGTAAGTAGAAACCTTGCTTGACTTGGAATATACTATCTAAAAATATAAATTTTTCTTGATGGTGGATGTGAAAAAAAGTTACATTCAGCTTTTATAGTAAAAAATTTTTGTGGACTTATTAATTGACATACCAATTTCATAATTACTGAGATATTTTAGGATAAGAATGACTTTTAAACGTTTATAGATATGTCAACTTGAATTTTGGTAATTATTATTAAATATATTTTAGGATAAAGTTATTAGTGTACGTTGTTAGGAGATCACATAGAGCTGGACTTTTATAGTAAAAATGTTATTTTTTATAGACTTCTTAATTAGTAAACCAAATTAAATATATATAAATTCATATCTTTAAGAATAATAATAGTTCATTAAAAAATTTAGAGAATTTCACCTTAAATTTTGGCGATTAAGCTAAATTATTTTAGGATGACTTTCTAGACGTATATTGTTGTAAGATCACAAGTAGTTAGAAAAGGATTGTACAAAGAACTCAATAAAATTTCGGACGGAATATATTTAAGTGATAATGCGTCAAATCTTACACTATTCAACAACACATCATATGTAACGACCCAAAACGAGCCGCGAGTGGCACCCACACTTATCCTCCCCACACTTATCCTCCTATGTGAGCGAACCAACAAATCTAAACCCCAACATTTACCAATATTTCAACCATAGTGAACAAAAAAATAATGCGGAAGACTCAAAACTCATTAACGAATATCAATTAAATAACATTTAAAACTCAATACTTATTATTCCCAAAATCTGGAAGTCATCACACCAAGAACATCTATCCTCGAATTTCTAAATCTAAGAGTATTAAGAAGATAAAATAAGTAAAAGGATGGTCCATGTCCGAACTTCAAGACATCAAGACGCGAAGGAGAGAATCCAGCACGAGCTAAGAAAAATAGCTCACCCTGAATTTTGATATGCTGGAGACTAGCTAGAGTTGAGGGAGAGTCGAAGTCGATGGCACGCTTGCTGCACTCCACAAATAACAAAGAAGAAAATTACAAGTAGGGGTCAGTAAAAGGAACAAGTACTGAGTAGGTATCATCGGCCAACTTAGAATAGAAAGCAATATATATTGAATAATAATATAAAATTAACCATAGTACTTAACAGGTGACAATCAATAAGTATAAGAACCATTGACAACAACACCAAGCACACCTATGAGGACTCAAGCCTCCACACCATACTCATTTGGGAATTAGGTTCTTTGGATTTGAGTATATTAACATAATTCAAAATTAATTCTCTTCATTATTATTGTGTCGGAACGTGACACTCCGATCTCCTAATTCTACGTGTCGGAACGTGACACCCGATCCCTTAATGCTACGTGTCGGAACGTGACACCCGATCCATTAATACTACGTGTCGGAACGTGACACCCAATCCATTTATCTCATTACTTTAGTCCATCAAGCCTTCTTTATGTCAAGGCATCATCTTAATGGAGAGGGCTAAGATTAAAGATTTCCACAATCACAACATACAAACACACAATCAAGCATATAGAAGACTTTACAATACTACCCAACACATATCGATCGCTATTTTGAGTTTATCTATCAGATAGAAACAAACCATAACCTACCTCCACCGAAGAATCGTGATCAAACAAGCTACTTCCCAATGCCTTTGCTTTCCTCTTCTCTTCTCCCTTTTCTCGCTCGTTTTCCCTCTCTCTGTTCTTTTTAGTTTTCCTCTCCAAATTCTTTTTCTTTTACCCTAGTTATCATATTATTCATTATGACAAAAGTAACCCATTATTTATTTCAAGGTTATCTCCTTTAACCCCCCAAGTAAGTAAATTATTAAACTTACCCCACTAATTTCATAAAGTTTTTCATGAATGGTCCAAAACACCCCTTTAAAACTTTTAGCAGAAATCCGACCAAGTCAGGGTTACGTAACTCGTGATGGTCCGTCGTATCTATGACGGGCCGTCCTGCAGGTCCGTCACAAAGTTCAGAGACTCAAATTCAGTAAAGAGGTTTGTGATGGTCCGTCATATCTTCGACGGTCCGTGTTGTATTTTCGTCGCGAAGTTCAGAAGTTGATCCCAGTACCCAGATTTTCGAGTTGAAGTATTTTTGAACGAAAACTCTTAACGGACCTTTGTGCATATGACGGTTCGTCCTATCCTGTCGTCGATGGTAATGAGGAGAGCAACAGAAGAATTTACACAAGTGTGGGACGACAGAGTCCATCACGGTCCGTCGTGACCATGACGGTCCGTCGTGTGATTCGTCGACCCAGTCAGTTTTTATCAAAAATAGTTTTACTGCTCGAACTTACTAAACAGGTCGTTACAATAAATACCAATTTATCCATCGTTCGTCCCCGAACTATTACAAGAAGAAAAGCAAGGGCGAGAAAGAGTACCTGAATTTGTAAAAAGATGTGGATATCTTTCTTGCATATCAGCCTCAATCTCCCAAGTGGACTCTTCAATTGGCCGATTCTTCCACCGAACCTTGATAGATGCAATCTCCTTTGATCTCAACTTGCGGACCTCTCTACGTAAAATAGCAACAGGCTCCTCCTCATAAGACAAATTCTCATCAAGGAGAACTGAATCCCAACGAATAATGTAGTTTCCATCCCCATGGTATTTTTTCAGCATAGACACATAAAATACCGGGTGCACTCCTGACAGTCCTGGAGGCAAGGATAATTCATAAGCTACCTCCCCCACGCACTTCAAAACTATAAATGGACCAATATACCTCGGACTAAGCTTACCTCGCTTACCAAACCGCATCACACCCTTCATGGGTGAAACCTTCAGCAAGACTTGTTCACCCTCCATAAAATCCAAGTCCCTAACCCTTCGATCTGCATATTCTTTCTGCCTGTTCTGAGGTGCTAGAAGCTTTTCCTGAATGAATTTTACTTTATCTAACGATTCCCTCAAAAGATCGGTACACCATGGTCTCACCTCCAATGCATCAAACCAACCAATGGGAGACCTACATCTCCTCCCATACAGTGCCTCAAATGGGGACATATCAATACTTGAGTAATAGCTATTATTGTATGAGAACTCTGCTAAGGGTAATAAGTTATCCCAATGACCATCAAATTCTATCACACATGCACGAAGCATATCTTCAACACCTGAATCGTTCAGTCAGACTGACCATCGGTCTGAGGGTGAAATACATTACTAAGATCCAACCTAGTACCTAATTCAGCATGCAATGTTCTCCAAAACTTAGAAGTAAACTGCGTACCTCTATCTGATATGATGGAAAGTGGAAATCCATGCAATCGAATGATTTCTGAGATATAGAGTTTGGCTAACTTCTCTGCATTGTTAGTCATCTTGACCGGAATGAAGTGAGCAGACTTAGTTAACCTATCAACAATTATCAAAATAGAGTCATACTTACCCAAGGTCTTTGGAAGACCAACTACAAAATCCATTGCAATTCTCTCCCACTTCTATTTAGGAATGGGCATTCTCTAAAGTGTCCCTCTAGACCTCTGGTGTTCATACTTTACCTGTTGACAATTTGGGCATTGGGCAACAAAATCAACAATGTCACACTTCATCCTACTCCACTAGAAATGTTGCTTTAGGTCACGATACATCTTGGTTGCACCAGGATGTATAGAATACCTTGAACTATGAGCTTCTGTAAGAATAGTCTGAATCAAATCATCGACGCGGGGCACACATACCCTTCACTTAATTCTCAAAATGCCTTCCTCATCAATTATTGCCTCTTTAGACTCTCCTCGCAATACCATATCTCGAATCCGGATCAGTTTCTCATCAGTAAACTGTTTTCCCTTAATCTTGTCAAGAAAGGAAGATCTTGCCTCCACACAGGCCAAAAATCCTCCCTTCTCCAGTACATCCAACCTCATAAAGTCATTAGCCAGAGTCTAAACCTCTCTAGCCAATGGGCGTCTAGAAACCTGCAAGTGCGCTAGACTTCCCATGCTCCCTGCCTTTCTACTTAATGCATCCGCCACAACATTAGATTTTCCTGGGTGATACAAGATAGTAATATCATAGTCCTTCAGTAGTTCCATCCACCTCCTCTGTCTTAAATTCAAATCTTTCTGATTAAAGACATAATGTAAACTACGATGATCTGTATAGACTTCACACTTAACCTCATATAGAAAATGTCTCCATTGCTTTAATGCAAACACTAGTGCAGCCAACTCCAAATCATGAGTCGGATAGTTGCGTTCATGCACCTTTAGTTGCCTCGAAGCATGAGAAATTACATTCTTCTCATGCATTAGCACTGCACCCAAACCAGAATAAGATGCATCACAGTAAACAATGAAATTCTTACCTTCCACTGGCAAGGTAAGAATGGGTGCAGTAGTTAACAAGGTCTTGAGGTCTGGAAGCTTTCTTCACATTCCTCCGACCACACAAATGGAACATTCTGCTTAGTCAAATTTTTCAGTTGGGAAGCAATAGAAGAGAATCCCTTGACAAATCGACGGTAGTAGCTAGCTAAACCAACAAAGCTCCTTACCTCTGTAACATTAGTAGGTCTTACCCAACTCTTCACTGCTTCAATCTTGGAAGGATCCACCATCACCCCATCCTTAGAAACCACGTACCCCAAGAAGGACACTGAATCTAGCAAAAACTCACACTTGGAGAATTTGGCATAAAGCCTTTTCCCCCTCAACAATTCCAATACAATTTTCAAATGCTCCTCATGTTCTTTCCTTCTCTTTGACTATATCAGTATATCATCAATAAATACGATAACAAAGAGATCCAGATATGGCTTAAAAATCCCGTTCATCAGGCTCATAAAAGCAGCAGGGGCATTCGTAAGCCCAAAAGACATTACTAAGAATTCATAATGCCCATACCTGGTTCTAAAAGCAGTCTTTGGCACATCTGCTGCCCGT